TGAAGCTGCTTTGTTGCATTGCCCTGCAGAACAGTATCGAACTTAGCTGTAAACCACTCTGAAACAATTGCCGCATTTTTTTGTGGATAAATAGGCTATATTTAGCCATGTGTGTGAAATAAGAGAAAAAGAATTGTAATTATTTCTGTTCTCCCTGCTGAATTCACTTAAAAAATTGTGGACTCAATATCCACTCTGTGCTTGTGGATTAACTGCAGTGGGATCTTAGTATGTACTGGGGAAGGAAGCTTCATTATATTGTATATTAGGTATTTATGTCTGCTGTGCTAATAGATTAGTATGGTAGTGTTTAACACCCACACAGCACAAGGTTCAAGGCAGCAGGTGCTTTAAGCGTTATTTCTGATCAGTTCTAGGCATTGTTTTCTCTTGCTTGTAAAGTTGTGATAATGAAATTTCAAGCCAGTTTTGATCTCATTCCACCCCTGTGCTGAGCATATGCAGGAAAAATTGCTGTCCAGTTTTGTACCGAGGAGACTCTTCTGTGTTTTTTCTACATGTTGTTTAATTGCGATGCCTGGTACCTCTCTGTGGAGTCTTGGGTAGCCCTTGTTTTAAATCCTCATGCTAACAACAGCCACAGTCCTTTGAGACTGTACCAGGAACCTGAACTTCAGTGATGGTGATAATCATTATGCTACTTGGCATTCTCAATTGTCAGCTGAAGTACTTAGATGCTAATTTATGCACACCTATAAGAAGGGTTTATTGTAAGCTTATAGCTTATATTTTTGATGTCAGGCTTGCTTTAAAGGTGAAAGTAGGAGAGGAAGGGGGCAGTGGTAGAGGTTGAACCAAAGAATGGGGCAAACCTATACAGACATTAGAAATTTTCCCCTTCATCTCCTCTCTAATGACTGGCCTGCAGGCCTTGGTGATTTATACACCACCACATATGTTGATGCTTCCGACAGTGCTGCTTTTTTTTGTGTGTGTGTGTGTGTCGTATGTGTACATTAGTGCTGGCTAGGTAAAGGTGATGTAGCTCTGTATCTCACATTCTTGACTTAAGGTATTTTTTTTCTTAATTCAAAAGTCATAGCCTTTAGCTAGTAGTAAAAATAAGCCTGACATTGCTTAGCTAAGAAAAAAATACTCTAAATCCTGCAGTATCAGCTAATTGGGAAAGATGATCTTAATTCAGATTAGGAATCATCTCTTAAAGACATGTCAAAGTAGGTTTTTTTAGTATAGCAGCATAGAACATACAGAAAACCGGGCACATAAAGGCCTTGGGTAGTGTGAGGTGAATTTGAGACTTGCTGCAAGGTGAGCAGCTGTGTGAGCTGGAAGGTGAGCTACTAAGATTAAGATTGTGTTCAACTTCTTTCATATGTATGTCTCAGACTCAGAGGGCTTGTATTCTGCAGGCATCCAATGATTACGAAGTGTAGACATCTTTTCAGATTTATTTGGGGCAGATTTACCTGGACTCTGCTTACTGCAGAGCTGCTGGAGAGATCTGGAGGAGAACGTAGAATCCAAGTCTGGGGAAATGTAGAATCCAAATCTTTGGGGAAGAGAGAGCTTGGTATTCTGAAATGGAGAACTGTGTGATATGCCTTTACATTTACATTTACATTTACATTTATATGTACTGGCAAAATGCAGTGATCTTTTTTTCCTTCTTTTGCTTCCTGAATCCATAATGGCAATCTGTTACCCTTTTGTCTCCAGCTGCATTCAGAAGTTCTTTCATTTTGCAGGTATACACATGGATTTAGAACGTTTGTTCTGAAATAGTAAGGGACCCCACATCAAGGAACTGAGTTGTTTTGACTGTAACAAGTGAATGGCATATGTATTCTGACCTAGTCATGGAAGACAAACGTTAATTATTCCTCTCCATAATCCATTGATAACTGGATTTTTCCAGTTAGTGATCAATGGGAAATAAAGCTAGATTGCTACAAAGGCACGCTGAGCTCCAACCAAGCGCAGACTTCTCCTCTCTCTTGAAGGATGTTTCATTTGTGTTCAGCTGTGGAAAAACTGTTGTCAAAGCATGTTTTGAGCAACGGTTGATGTGGGGTTCAGGCTATCATTTTGAATACAGCTTTTTAGATGAGCTAGTCTATGTTCAGAGGATAGAGGTGATGTTTTGTTTTGGGTTTGTTTTTTTTTTTTAATAATGGCAGTTCCTGGAAAATGTGAAAATTCTGCTAGTTTCCTACATTTTAGTTGGTCTTTGAGAGGAAAGAAAAGTCACATCAGATACTGGAAAAATCTGTTCCAAATCTGTTCTGTGCCTGGAAACTGAGACAGAATGATCAGACAAGCCTGTTAGGACTTACTAATTTTTTTCTCCTTCCCCTCCAACCACATTTCACTCTACTACTATAAATCTTAAGACTACCCCAAAGGAAGAGAATTTGGGGGGGTTTTGTATGTATTTATGGCCTCCTTACCCCAATTAGTTCTGTCACAGAAGTGGAACACTGGTCATTAACCCAGAAGATGGTCCAGCCTTAAAATGAGATAAGTTGGCATGTTCAATTTATGTGCATTTTTTGTAAGTGTTTCCAGAGGGAAAAAATTCTCATTTGCTGATAAAGCTACTGGTTTTAATTTAAAAAGAGGGATCAAACCAAGAATAACAGCTGTGATTCTGGAGGTTTCAGCCTGTCAGGGGTTTCTAAGAAGTAATTGCCAGAAGACTGGGAAAACTGGCTATAAGTCATCTTATCTATTTAGAAAATGTAAATTGCCAACTCAGTGTAACTACAGAAAAGAAATATCAGTCCATATTCATTACATGTTATTACTCATGGTACATCTGAAAGCTTTCTAAAGACCTAAGAGAATTCAAGTAGTGCCTCCTAACTTACAATTTAGTAGAATTTGTATGTAGAAAATAACTTACAATACACAGGAGCATTCATGTGTATTTGCAATTGGAATGTGCGGTGGTGCATATCAACAGCCTCTAAGGAGCAGAAAATTTGAATTTAGCCTGATGGTTCTGAGAGTATTAAATGGCATTAGCTGGAGGGGAGTTGAAAACAGAGTATGGGCCCCTAAAAGAGAAAAGAGCAAGGGTGGGACATGAATCACGCTCGAAGCTCTGCTCATTTTCAGAGGTGGAGAATGTAACTGACATTTTCACACCTCAAATAGGAGATTCTTTGATGTACCTTGAAGGAGCAAAATGGCTGAAGATTTTCCATTTGGTCTATAGATAACAATCCACAAAAACAGTTCCCTCCTTTCTCTTCCTTCTGACTTTGCCCTATGAACCTGGCTTGTTTGATGGGAAAAGAATTGATAGTTTATGCAGTCAAAACTCTTAAAGATTCCAATGGAAACATTTTCTCCTTTGGAAATTTGAGATTGAGGCTACTTATTGAACAGGACAAAAAATACAAACATTAATGGAAATATGAATTTTTAAATTTTAAAACTCCCTTTGTGAAGTATATGTAAGCATAACACATACTGATGTATCTGTAAAAGCGTAAGGAGAGACAGCCTGTTTTTACTGCAGCTTCGGGTGCTGAATCTGTATAAGTGAATACATGTAAGTTTTATTTAAATTCAAATGTTATTTTAAAATACGTGTGTTTTTAAAATTATATTTGAAATTGTTCATCCATGCTAAGGACTGATTTTACTATAATGTTATAGACGTTTGAATACAAGTATTCTAGCAATGTCTGTTTTCTAATGAAGCTTTTAAAGCATTCAAACCACCAGAGAACTGCAGTTAACTGGAGCCAGAATTTGTTTAAACCAAGTTTTGACAGAAACAATTGTTCAGGGAGAATATTTTTCTCTGGTTTATTTTGTTCTGCTTTTCAGCTCTACAGGTAGCTTTTTTGGTTTGTTTGAAAGACAAAAATAGTTTAAGTGAAAAAGTATTCTGATAAACTCTATTTTGTGTGCCTAGAAATTTATGTAGTTAATTTCATGAGTAATGAGGCAATAGGCTTATCTATGGATTTTAAATTCTGTTCTCCATAAAAATTCCACAAAAAATGTCACAAGCCATAAGTATAAAATAATCTAATAAAGCAATCATTGACATTATTTTTAGCTATTAAAAAATATGGGCAAATTCCACCCATATCTAGCAGAATGAAAAGTAAAACTGAAGACCCAAGACTTGCAGCGTATATATTTGTTTAGATGACTATAGATAGATGAATCTTTTTGAGGGTAGAAAATGTTTAATATAAAAGCTAATTTGATATAAATCAGTGCATTTTAATGGTTAACAGAATCAACTTTATGGAAATAACTGAAAAGCACAAACGTAAAAGATTAAAATTGATTATTTAAATAATGATTGAAATCTGCGATTTGCATCATTGTGATGAAAATCAATTCATCCTGAAAGAAGCAGGGAATAAAGCTCTTCCCTTCTGACAGGAACAGCAGCATTGTTCAGCGATATCCTGCGCACTTGTCAAGTTGTAGCTTGTTCAGGTCTCAAGAACAGAAGCACAAAGCTGGCCTCCCAGTTGTGTTTAATGAATACTAGTGGGTTTTTCTTATGTCCAAGAATTTGATCTGTAGGGTGATCCAGAGGTCAAGAACAAACGGCTCACTATCGCTCACCTCTGTGAAGCCAAGGCTTTCATTTGCTTTTTTTAGTAACTCTAGAGGAAGTGCCTTAACTCTTTTTAAGAAGCAAAATTTTAATTGGCATAGATAATGCAGCCTTCAGAAAGTATAGACAGGTTCAGTCATCTCCTTTAAAAATAATGTTTTGTGAAATTTTTTTCTCCTCTCTTTAGCCCAGTGGAAAATTTGGGGATTTCATCAAGTGGTTCTGCCTAAGTTTGAACTTATTTCTGTAACCGTTTCTTTCACTGCTTCATTTGCAATCATATTTTAATACAAATAGCTCTTAAGTTAGTACATCTCCTATCTTCTGATCAGTGTTTTCAGACTTGGTGT